AACTTTACTTCCATGCATGGCCCTTTGGGGCTTAAAAGGCCATAACAACATCCTTAGGGTTTGCATGGGACTCAAATGGCATAAAGTTTTCACCTTTATGCCTTTACAATCCTTAATGGCCCTAGATCTGAAAGTATAATCAACTTGGGACATCCATGACTCATAAATCATACTTCTTGGACAAAAACCCCCCATAAATGTGACCATAAAGAGATCTAAGGAACTACAAGGAAAGTTAGGAGCTTGATTACCAAAAAGTGATGAGAATGGAACAAAATCCCTAGATCTATAACCTTCTCCTTGAACCTTCAAGCTCCTTCTTCTTCTTCTAAGCTTCAAGAACACACAAACCACTCAAGGATGTCTCACACACTCCCAAAATGCTCTAGGGTTTCGTGGATTAGGGCTTAGGACTTGGAAACTATAAATAGGGCTGATGGAATGAGAATAAGATGCTTAAATATAGTACAAAGACCCGGATTTTTGGTTTCCTAAACCCAGACCAACTCATCGAGTTGGTCCACCAGTTCGTCGAGTAAGTCCTTCTACCCGCGTACTAAAACTCACTCCTACTCGTCGAGTCATCCCCCCATACTCGACGAGTTGCCTTCTTGCCTTAGGGTTTTCCTTTCTTTTATTTGGCCTTCTGGATTTCGGGTGTTACAGCAGCAGCCCACCAACATCTCGTACATGATTATTTTGACAAGCATGCTCTCTTTGAATGATATTATTTTTGTCGATGGTTCCGGATGCATAAAGTTTTATTTATGCATATTGTTGAAGGTGTGAGTTTAGTGTCTGAATATATGCGGCAATGCTCGGACGCAAGAGGTGTTTTTTTTTTTTTTTGAATTGTGTTTTAGTTATGAAATATATTTTTTTTATGTATTACGTCGTGTTTTTTGGTATTAAGTTACGTTAGTAGTGGTTTGAACTATTAATTCGTGTTTCTAGGTATTTTAAAGTTTAATTTATTGTAACCTTTTAATTTAATATGAAATGTTTGTATTTTAAAAAATATAATTTATTTGATATTAATTGTTTGTTGTTTAAAACATTAACGATACTTATATAGGCCTTGAAGGCCAACAACCGAGGCACAAATCTTCAGGGCCAACTTCAATGATTTAAACTATTGTCAATCGTCACATAATTGTCATTCTTGATGTTTATCCATTTGAATGCAGGGGCGGTTTTAGGGATGAGCATCGGAATTGGCCCGAACCAGAACCGGTCCGGGAACCGAACTTAGTGGAAAATAGGAACCGAACCGACCGCCGGTTCTACCGATTCCCGGTTCTATCGGTTCTTGTCGTGTCTTCAATGTTGGAACCAGTCCTCAAAAAATAGCAACATATTGTTCCGGTTTTTGCCGGTTCCCAGTTCCAAAATTTCACAAGAATATCGTCCTAGTCCCAACCCGATCGGTTCCTCGGTCCAAATGCTCATCTGTAGCGGTTTTAGTAGGCGTCCCGGTGTCACACCGGCAACACCAACTTTTTTTGTCTGCAATTGAAAACTTTTCGATTTTTTGATTTTTTTTTATCAATTTTTCCTACTTCTGCAACACCTATTTCAGCATCGGCAATACCTACTATGTAGTCGTGCATCCGCTCTATTTGAATTAGCCGTAGGTAATTGGTATATATAAAAAACTTTATCTGAAACAAACAATCGTTTATTACATAAATAATTAGTGATTCACTCCCAGTTTTGTGCCTGAACCTAGCAAGTGATTTGAAAATTTGATTTGTAACTCTATAGCCGCCAGCGGTCCAACGTGTACATAGTCCCATTTCTAGATCCCAGTGAAGCCCCCATTTTTTAATAATATCAAACATTAAAAATCAAAGTCAAGCGCATACGATTCAATAAAAGACGGCTGGAGGTTTGCATGATTGCAAGTTGTTAAGAGCTACATGATAAATATTTTGGCGCATGTACAAAGTATCTTAGATAAATACTAGAGCTTGAGGGCTTTCATTAACTATTGATTGTAAGAAAAAACAAGGAATATAGTTGTAAAGGATAAGCCTACATTTGGTTTCCTATAAATTTGGAGTCCATTTGCTCGACTTTCATAACCTACTTCCTTAGTTCCTTACCTTCCAACTTAATCGAGACAACATTCTCTTCACACCCTCCTAATTAATAAAACTTCTAGATATGGAAGTCTCGTATTCAATCTATACTCTAGCCTCTAACATTCTCCTAATAATACTTCTCTTCACTTACACCATTAATTCAGTCTCTGCCCTTGAGAAAACAAACACCGAGTTCATCAGAACATCATGCAGTTTGACAAGTTACCCTACACTCTGCTTCAACTCACTCTCAACCCGATCAGGTGCAATCCAAACAAGCCCTAAGCTACTAGCCCAAACAGCTCTTTCTATCACCCTTGACACAACACGCACCACCTCATTAGCAATGATAAAACTGTCACAAGTTCATGGAATGGCTCCACAAGAGGTTGCTGCCATGAAAGACTGCATTGAGTTGCTGAGTGACGCGGTATACGAGTTGAAAAAGTCACTCGAGGAGATGAGTCAACCGGGTTCGAAAGATTTTAGGCTAGTGATGAGTGACATACAAACGTGGGTCAGTTCTGCATTGACGGATGAAGACACTTGCTCTGAAGGGTTTGTGAATGATCCAAAAATGAAAAGTGTGGTGAGAGGAAAGATTGTGAATGTTGCCCATTTAACCAGCAATGCTTTGGCTTTGATCAATAATTATGCTTCTTTACGTGGATAGCTAAAAGGAAAATAGAGATTTGATGCTTATATCTATTCTAAGAATCACATTGTATGGCAACGAAATCTCAAAACATCCAAACATTAATCATAAAATTTTGTATTGGTTTTCTTATAGCGATGTGTGAATGTATGTCAAACATTTGTTACCCTCGATTGCACATGCAATGTACAACCGAGTGAAAATTAATATATCTATTTGAAAAACATTATCATGTAATAACAATGTCTTGAGGATATTATCTTGTCTCCTATAGTGGTTTTACATTCTAGTATCATCTCTCATATTGCTTTAAAGTTTATCCAAGAATGTTATCCCTCCCCTGTTTCTAGTCACCATGTGCGCCTGCTTTTCATATGCCAAATGATATCTACAGAAATAGTCTTTGTACCATTGGGTGGATCGTGAAATGTATGGTTTCGAGATTTTTGCATTAGAGAAAAAGGGTGTGTCTCTGTATGAACCTTTATGTTACCTTATCCATTGATTATGATAAATAACTAAGAACACAAAATTATTAACAATAACAAACAATTGGTATCAATACAGAACCCTATATTCCTTGCCTCTAAAGAATCACAAAATTTCGTCATAAGGTCACATGTTCAAGACCATTGATTGAACTATAACCATGTACGTTAATAAGATGGGATCTTACACTGATCTTGTTTAAACTTAAAAACAATGTGGTTAATTGGCGAAAACAGTCCAATCCATATTCTTATCTAATGACCAAAAAAGTGGGGAAAAGGGATTTGATTCCAAGAAAACTGGAATCAAAGTTGACAGGGATCTAACAAGCTAATGCTCCGAACCTGAAAATACCTAGAGATCACTGCTGTTCATTAGTCGAAAACTAGTCAATGATACCTCGGTTACAAAACATAATCACCATTTCAAATAAGTCAAGCATGAGCAATATAGATAAGAGAGAAATACAACAGGAAGCTTTAATGTAGGCCCCTAAATGTACATCAGGATATTCTACTGTATAATTCAACACATCAAACAACACAAATTTCATCTTGATTACAATTTCAAAATATCTACAAGATATTAAAAGGCTTAGCTCTCGAAATATCCATAAATATCCACCATTCCAAAACAATCCATTCATCTGTCTGTGCGTTTGTGTGTGTGTGTGTGTGTCTGTGTGTGTGTGTGTGTGTGTGTGAGAGAGAGAGAGAGAGAGAGAGAGAGAGAGAGAGAGAGCATGTTCAAACTGAGTAGAAAGTGGTCCGGAAAGTTGATTGTAATTGTGTAGTCGCCAGCCGTCCAACATAACTAAACACAGTGTCCCATCTTTAAGACCCCAGTAAAGCCCCCTCCACTTCATACATATCTGACTTTCAACCTTATCCTGTTGGCAACCCTTAAAACAAACAAACTTGAAAACTAAGATGAAGGATTTGAAGAATTCATGCTATCTGTTGAATTGCTGGTGTATATAGAACCATGGATCTGTTAGGTTGGATGGAATAAAATGACCAAAGAATGGAATAATTGAATAAGCAAAGTAAGTCATTAAATTTCAATATCATGTTTGATTGACCTAAAAAATGAAATGAATCGTTCAAACTTATTGTTTATTATATGCAATTAGAAATAAATCAATAAAATAAAGAAACAATGTTATTGTAAAAAATAAGCTTCAATCAAACAAAGATTTATTGCCAAATAAATTAGATATAAACATATTTTTATGTACATTTAAATAAATAATATATGTGATTTAGGTATTCTAAAAAAGCGTGTATATCACATTAAAAAAAATGTCCACAGTTTTAAAATATTAAATTAAATTAAATACCATGAATCGTATAACAAAATTACAACAAAAATATAGTTTTTTTATAACAGAAAGTAATCTAATAACCTACTCCCAAGAATTCCCCTTCATTTACTTGTATCAAATATCACAAATCAATGAAGGATGGCTAAAGGTTTCCATAATTGCAAGTTGCTTAGTACAACTTGGTAGATATTTTGACATAAGACTATCACATGTACATATCATCTTAGATAGAGACTAGAGTTAGAGGGTTTCATTAATTATTGCTGGTGGACATGTAAGACTATCAAAAGAGCAAAATAAGGAAAAATTGTAGAAGATATCTGCATTTGGTTGCCTATAAATTTGGAGTGCATTTCTTCAACTTTCATAAACCATAACCTACCTTCTTAGCTTCAAACTTTAAGCCAGATAACATTCTCTTCACACCCTCCAAAAAGAATTTTTAAATATGGAAGGCTTATATTCAATATATTCTCTAGCTCGTAGTATTCTCCTGATATTACTTCTCTCCACTTCCTCCATTAGTTTAATCTCCGCCCTTGACAAAACAAATGTGGAATTCATCAGAACATCATGCAGTTTGACAAGTTACCCTACACTCTGCTTCAACTCTCTGTCTACTCAATCAGGTGCAATCCAAACAAGCCCTAAGCTGCTAGCCCAAACAGCTCTATCAGTCACCCTTGACACCACCCGCACCACAACCACAGCAATGGTAAAATTGTCACAAGTGCATGGCATGGCTCCCCGGGAGGTTTCTGCCATGAAAGACTGTATCGAGTTGATGAGTGACACGGTGTATGAGTTGAAAAGGTCACTTGAGGAGATGAGTCGACCGGGTTCTAAAGATTTCAGGTTGGTGATGAGTGATATAGAGACATGGGTGAGTTCTGCATTGACGGATGAAGATACGTGCTCTGATGGATTTGTTAATGATCCGAAAATGAAAAGTGTGGTGAGAGGAAAGATTGTGAATATCGCCCATTTAGCTAGTAATGCTTTGGCTTTGATCAACAGTTATGCTTCTCTACACGGATAGTATATATATAAAATGCAGAATTTTATTTTTGTTACCTAGTAGTAATGTGTGAATGGCCTTAATTGATTGCAAATGCAATGTATTATTGAGAGAAGTTATTAATTAATTTGAAAATATTGTCATGTATTAATAATCTCTTGAGGATATTATCATTTCTTGTATTGCTTTTATATATTCTATTATCATATCTCGTTTTGCTCGAAAGTTATTAATTAATTTGAAAATATTGTCATGTATTAATAATCTCTTGAGGATATTATCATTTCTTGTATTGCTTTTATATATTCTATTATTATATCTCGTTTTGCTCGAAAGTTGTTCTAAGAATGTCACAAACCAAGTTCTGATATAAGTTCACATAGGGTCAAGTTTTAATATAAAGTCACAAGTCACGCTTGTATCAAACTTGTTTTATTAAACATAAACTATGATAAACCTTTTTGGAACACTTGAATCAAGCTTTAACTTTTTCTTTAAGCCTAGCTCAAACCTACATCAAGTTATTGAGTCTAGAACATCATCCGTTCAAGCTCTAGCTTGGGTTGGCTCGTGTGCAACCCTATTTCCGAAAGGATTTTGGGGATAAAATGTTGGTGATGTAAGTTTTTTTGGAAAAAGAGGAAACCCCTTAGCAAATTTTATTAAAGAAAGAAAGAAATTACAAAGGAAAGTCGGCTAACAGCCAAGAAAAAATAAAGACAAGACAAGCTAAAGGATATTCCCCAAAGCAAAGACAAAACAAACAAGGAACAAACTAGCTAAAGACCTAAAGTCTTCGTCACTGATCTATTGGAGAAGAGATACGCCAACCATGAGAAGAGCTCAGTTATATGTATGTCAGAAGCTGGGTGAGTATCTCTGGAATGGATGATAGGAGGGATATGAGAGTCATCATCAATATCATCCACTCTTTGATGAGAAAGAGCGTCAAACATGTTGGTTGTGGCTTTTCTCTTCGGTCCTTCACGGATCACTGGTTTATAGACTTGAGTGCTCTTTATAGCGGGCCCTTTTCCTTTATGGTTGTCAACGAGGGTCTTTTTTTTTGGAATAGGAAAAGTTCTAGCTCTCCTCTTGACCGTTTTATATCCTTCATTATCAACTTCTTTTGATATCCTTCATTATTAACTTCTCTTGACCATTGGTGATGTTAGTTCGATCAAGCATTTTAGGCGAGTGGGATTTACACGTGTACAAAAGGGGATTTAGGTTATGCTAAAATACGAGCTATGAGGTGCAGCGTACACACTCTTATAGGATAATTTGATCCTAGACACAAAAATAGCAAGGTTAAAAGGGCAGCGTCATTGCCCCTCTTGCACTGATCACACTCTCCATCATCTTGTGGTGGCGGATCAACTAACTATTGTTGGGTCGTGATTATTAGCTTTATGTGGTGGAGGGAACGAGTGATGCGAGTGGAAGCTAACAATCTTGTTACAACATTTAAAGTTATGGAATCTGTGATGTTTCCTTTAGGGAAGAAGTAATGTGTGACGAGATGGATTTCATAATGGAAAACAATGCCTCGATATTGTCAAACTTGTCACATGGTTCCAAACCTTCTTATTGCAAGCGGATGTTTAAGAGAAGATGAAAATGGTTGTAATCATTGAGAAGTTCAAGGCTCGGTTGGTCATCCAAGGTTTTAGACAAAAATTTGGAATTTTCTATTTTGATACATATGCCCCAAGCAATAGCACATATATCCATAACGACGATGTTCATTGACTTAGTTATCCTATAAGCTAGTTCGATCCTACAAAACAGATGGGTGGGTCAAGAGGTAGCGCCTAACAAGGTTTAGGAACAACTTTCGTCACACGGTCTAGAGTAAACGTCCTTTGTAGACAGTCAAGCATACAGGCGGTATCAAGGGCAATGCACCGTTGCCTAAATGGTTTTGAAGGACTACAAAGCTAATGGATTAACTACTAGCGGGTTTCGAAGGTCAAAGGTACTAAAGGCCAACAGGTACACGGTAAGTCCTGAAAAGTGTAAGTCATAAAGGGACAGTTGAGTGGTAGGTTTTGAGAGGAAAGTATAGTTATGAAGTGTGGAACATGTGCAGGACATGTTTAGACAGTTGTCAACCGCCATATAATTTTCATTCATGATGTTTATCCGATTACATCTAACCGTTTGTATATATACAAAACTTTGTCACTAATTGTAGATTCTCACAAAATCCGAAACAAACAAGCCTAACATAAAATTTTCCAATTTTTTGTCGTAACTTTGACTCGATTATACCCTATTAGATTTCACTTTGTGGCACCTAAGCTATTGTTAAGTTGTTGAGTTGGGGAGTCTGATGGTTGACAAGGGACATATCAGTTGCAATGACAACCATGAATGGGTATCTCTAGTTCAAGTATAGATGTAGCATGCTTACCCTAATCTTGTGAACCTTACGTTCTTGTGTGTATTTTTTTTTCTACATCCTAATTTGTGTATGTCAGTCGTAAACCTAACAATGACATCTTGTAACTTGAGTTCCCCAACAATTACTAGCATGAGGTAATGTCCTCGAGCACACATCAAGGTACCTCCTCGAAATGAAGCTTTAATGACGACATTGCCAGTGTCCGATTAAAGTTGTAAGAAAGAGAGAAGAAGATAATGGCCACCAAACTGTAACTTTGAACAAATGAAAATTCCCGGTGCAACAACTTACTATATATCCTAGTGTACTTATTAAGAGCACAGAAAACTATAACACACGATATAAAAAGAATTGGACTTTTATCCGTGCATTGTAAAGTGTTTCTCTTTCTCTCTCTCTCTCTCTCTCTCTCTCTCTCTCTCTCTCTCTCTATATATATATATATATATATATATATATATATATATCTATATATATATATATATATATATATATATATATATATATATATATCAGGGGCGGAGCTTCAACATTTGATTCGGGGGGTGGGGGGCAAATATATAATATGTATAAAAATTGGTAAGTAGGGGGGGGGGGGGGGGGGGGCTAATGTCAAAATTTTATATTTTTGGTATAAAATGTATAAAATAAACTATAAGGGCTATTTAGAACCAAAAAATCAGAGAGGGAGTGGGGGGGGGGGACAGCCCCCCTTGGCCCTAATAATGCTCCGCTAATGATATATATATATATATATATATATATATATATATATATATAGGATATAGATCCGGTAAGAAATTTTTTTTGGTAAGAAGGTAAGAAGTTTTTTTTCTACATATTTTTTTGATGAACAAAATAAATGAATCACTAGATGATTCATTTGTAAGATGATTCACAAGAAAAAATTCCCAAAAAAACATCTTTATGATTCATTTTTAAATAAATTAAGAAAAAATTCATTTTTATGATAATTTTAGTGAATAACAACAAAATCATTGTATAAATGAATCATCGAGATGTTTTTTTGAGAATTTTTTTTTGTGAATCATCTTACAAATGAATCATCTAATGATTCATTTTGTTTATTCGCAAAAAAAATATGTAGAAAAAAAACTTCTTACCTTCCTACCAAAAATTTCCTTCTTATTTGATCTTGACTCTCTCTCTCTCTCTCTCTCTCTCTCTCTCTCTCTCTCTCTATATATATATATATATATATATATATATATATATATGGAAAATGATCAATTGAGAACACCTAAAATGTTGAGAACGTGAGAACAGGTATATTCATTTGTGATTTCATTTATTTGTGGAGAAATGATAATTTTTTACGCACAATCAACATGAATATGTTTTTTCTCTTCAATTGAAATTAAAGACATAAAAATTTATCATTTCTCCACAAATGAATATATTTTGTTCTCGCGTTCTCAACTTTTTTTATGTCCTCATTTGATCATACTTCTATATATATATATATATATATATATATATATATATATATATATATATATATATATATATATATATATATATAGAGAGAGAGAGAGAGAGAGAGAGAGAGAAAGAGAAAGAGAGAGATGAATATAGGGTATTTATTGTTGGGTCCCAACCAGCATGTGATCGGTTTATGTTGTAGGCCCATTTATGAAAGTTTGCTGATGTTGAACTTTACCTTCTTAGTTAAATAATTGTTCTTTTGAAAAATTCATGATAATGTTTTTAGATATCCTTCCAAAACAATGCATGAATCTGTGTGTGTGAGAGGCTGTTAAAGAATACCAATTGATCCAGAATGTTGATTGTAATTCTGTAGGCCCAACCAGTCCAACTTAGCATCTAGTGAAGTCCCATTTCTAGAACCCAGTTAAGTGAGCCCCCTGCCAAAGTGCCAAGTGCCAACTTCATGCATATCTCAATTCTCAAACATTCAAAGTAGTTACCTTTTTTCATTAAGACATTAAGTCGGGGCCACCCTTAATACATAAAACCCTATGAGACTCTCATGTGAAGTATTCAAAAAATTCATATATGCTAATAAATTTAGATGAATTATTGCTGGTGTACAAATTAAAAACTTAATCTGATTTGACTTATAGATAATCTTAGGAGAAAACTGCAAATTTAGTCCTCATGTTTGACAAAAAATTTGGGTAACTTTTAATTTTGCAAAGATCATCCCTATGGGCATGTTTCGTTGTGGTTTTGATCCCTCAAGTAAACACCATCAGTTTAAATTCATTAACGCATGCTACAATGACTTTTACCCTCTATTTTAAATAAAAATATTGATATTAAATAGAAAATAATCTCTCTCTCTCTCTCTCTCTCTCTCTCTCTCTCTCACACACACACACACACACACACACACGGAAAGTCTTGCTCCCACCATAGGGTAAAAAAACCATTTTAGCATGAGTCATACAATCTATGCAAATATAAAATTTTAGGGACTAGAACCATTATTTTTTTGACAAACACAGGACAAAAGTAGCAGTTTTCTTTAATCTCTATATAAGTGCGGTTATGAATACAGTACCCCAAAAGATGTCATCTTGTTGCAATCCAAACAAGCCCTAATTAACATTAGCTACTCAATTGATAGCCCAAACAGCTCTATCCGAATATGAAGCTTATGCACAATTCGGGTAAAGCTTCATACTGTATCTCTTGCCCCTAAATAATCACAAAAGGTGGTCATAAGGTAACATCTTTAAGACGATTGGGACTACAATATACATATTGCACATCAATGAGATGTTTCATGGTTTTCAAATTGATTTGGTGAAGTGGCAAATACCTTGGGAATATAACTCGTGCTTTAATGACATCTAATTACCAAAAAGTGGGGGGGAAAAAGGCATCTATCTCAATCCTCCAATGAAACTGGAACAGAGATCTAACAATCAAATGTTCTGATCTTAAAAGTAGTAGAGATCACTACTGTTCATCTAATTAACTTGCACATTACTCTAACTACAAGCTGCTAAGATAAAGACTAGTGCTTGAGGGTTTTTCATTAATAATTATTCAGGCCTCACCAAATGTCAAAATCATACTATACCTCACAAGAAAAAACATACACAATCCATTTTCATGATTCTCATCAGGATTACAATCCAGGAGTAATAAAGAACAATACAAACGCAATAAGAAAAATGATTCTCTAGTAAGAGGGAGAGATGACGATTTGCATCAAGAAGCTCGTTTTGGAGGAGACATATTCCCAATCAGAGATGTTGTTTTACTGATAGAAAATATTTGCACAAACAGTCCTGCAGTGCCACACAGTAAACCTCCATTGTTAAGCTCTCCAACTACATTTTACATACATTAATAAATTGGCACAAAGGCTTATTAATTATTATATATATACTAACCAACACAAACACAAGCAATCTTCAATACATCAAACTTATCTGTTTCCCAGTTACTCAGACCAAGAAGAGGTGTGCTTGCCTTCAGTTCGATACCTGAAGCAATTGATCCAACTACTCCTACAGATGATGCCACCATATAGAATTTTAAAAAACTCACTCTGCTACGCTTTCGACCTGTAACATTAACAAAGAGCTTATTAACTTCATACACAAACATATGAATTTCTAAAATAACAGTTGCTTAGTGCTTACCCAATTCTCCAATTATAATTGAAATGGAAGTTATAGAAATGGATGCAGCAGCTAATATTTCAAGAGGCTCCTTGTTTAACAGAGAGAAAAGGATGTCAACTACTCCTAGCAGCACTACCACTGCCTGCATTGCATTGAACATGGATATCTTGTTACTCAGCTTTACAACCATCAAAGAAAACAACATAAAAGCATGCATATGTACCTGAATCACAAGAACTTTGGAGAGTGTGGATTTCCCCTTGGCTACCTTTGTATATCCTAAAGTTAAGATCCAAATAAAGAGTTGAAATTATAAAGAAGAAACATACAACACCATAATTACATATTTACTGAAGAAAAAAGACATACTGTTGTCCACAACCATTCTGTATGAGAAATCAGAGCCATCTGTTCCCGATGGACGCCGGTTGCCAGAATTTCTCTGCTGCATCTGGGTAATGCTACAAAGGCTTGCTTTTTTTATTTATGAAATTGGTTAAAACTTGTTTTTTTAAACATCCTTTTTTATAACTTTCAAATGTGTATAGAATGAGAATGTGCTCAAAGATAGATGAAAAGATTAACTGTTATTCAGGAAGTTTATTATGTTAGTTTAAAAGATGTAGGAAACTATACTGCGTGAAGTTAAAATCATAAAATGTAGTGGAAATGTGAAATGTTTATATATATACGTAAATTGCAAACCTAAAAACAATATACTTTGACTCTTCAAGGTAATAAGGTTTGAGTTGAAAATGTGCAATATTCCGAAACCAAAATTTCAGTCAAGACTCTGCCAGATAATAGGTTTGAGTTCAAAACCCAACTGAGGCTGATAGAATACTGAGTAAGTACTTTGAAATAATCAATTTGAAACAAAATTTCAGAGAAGAGTCTGCAATAAACGATTGTAATTTGACTCAAGACTTGGCCTATAGTATTTTGTTAGTTATACACTTTTTTAGCTACTTCTAAACCCTAAAAGGTAAAAGAGGTAAGAATGTTGAAAATGAAACCTAATTATTGAACGGGTGCAACTACAATCAAACCCATATCAAAACTGTAGGAATCAATAATCGATTTAAACCCCAAATTGTAAACAAACCTTAAACAAGAAGAATCGATGAATTGTTTTTTTACCTGGGCAAGTGATTCCGGTAGTGAAGTAACGTCGCAGGTACGTAGCAGTTCACAACAGAAAAAATAAGGGAAAACGATTTTTATGATAAGGGATTGACTAGAGCAAGGTGCACCAGTGATGAAATGCGATGGTGGTGGCGATCGCGGTGTATAATGTGATGGTGGTGGAGCGGCTTCTGTTTCTACTGAGAAAGAAAGGGAAGCAAGAAACGATTGATGCCGGCGCAAGATAGTAAATCCTGTGTACGAACAGTAACGACTGCAAATTAATCGTGTATTATAATAACAATCTGACTTAAAATCGCTTGCCGTTCTAGCTCAGTTGGTAGAGCGCGTGGCTTTTAACCACGTGGTCGTGGGTTCGAGTCCCACGGATGGCGATAAATTTTACGTTCTATATTAAGTTTTAACTGAACAAGTATATCAGCTAATGTCTTTTTTACCTTTTTGTTATATAACAATATCTCTCTAAGGAAGAAACTAAAATTCAGATTAAACAAGGGAAGAGTCCCGTTTTAGGGGATTGGATCCGCTAGAAAAACTTGTTTAGGGTCAAAATGAAGATATCAGTAACAGAAAAAGAAATAAACGGAAAAACCATTTCTTTTTCAACTAAATACAAACTTGAATTTCACATTAAAAAAAAAATAAACCCTTATTTTCAACCATGTATATAATCTAAAGTTTTGGCTGACACTTTTTGTTGGTGTAGTCTTCTTTAACATCTATATCCTTGGAAACATGGTTATACTATTGACTCATTTCAGATTTCATGTGTTGGTGTAGTCTTGCTCTTTGACCACACACACACACACACATATATATATATATATATATATATATATATATATATATAGTAATAAACCACAAGAGAAAAAGTCAAACTTCAATTATTATTTGCAAGAAAGAAGACCATAATGAATCAAGACTTTCCACAGTTTTTATGATCACCTCCCATGTGATATGCATTAGCAAGATATATCCATCTTCCCACTTTACATTTCTTGATACCTAATAACAACATACTTACAATTTGTTACTCAACCTATACTTATCAAATGATCCCCTAAATTTCCTATAATACCCATTTCCTTTAGTGCAAACATCATCAACATTGCCTTTCAGTTTTGCCAGTCTTTTTCATTTTTCATGAGGCCAACTTATATATCAAGTGAGTCCGCAGGTCCACTGTTGAGTAGGACCACCTATTTTACTAAAAAAATACAAGTGCGATGATATATTTTGGAAAAACTTCAAAAAAAATTAAATGCAATGTTATATTTGGGCAGGTATATGCAATGATATGTTTGGATAATTTGTTCAAAAAATAAAGTCATGCAACATAGAATCTACTTAAACTTATAATGAATAGAAAAAAAAAAACTTACGTAGAGGAATTTAGGCATTTATCATAATTTACAAACAAACCGAACAAAAGAATGGAACTGAATTCCATTCATTTGATAGTTTGCCAAGTTGAATAAAAAGATATTTTATTGATTAGTTGTGATCTGGATAGATGGAAAAAAAAAAGAATAATGTAATTAAAGAAAAAAACAATGAACTGATGACATAACTCATAATAAAAACAACCCTAACGATATCATTGTTATATTGTATTAATTAAATTGGTTGTAAGTTTTATCCTTCATTAGTTAGAAAGAATTAAAATTGAAGAAACATAAGAAAATGTAATAAACAATAGACTTAAAACCTTAAAATGTTAATCATGGCAGATGTCTGTGACCATTTCTTCAACCATTGATGTCAATTACACTACAAATTTAAAGAAAAATGTCAAATCCTTGAATTGAAAATAACTACCGCATTTTATTTTTTGTTTTCTTTGTGGTGGTGTAGAGGGGTTTGTGAACATATGGAAAGAAGAAGCACATACATTCTTCCAGTTTTTTCCATATTTCTTATACTTCCACACTAAGCATTGTAGTTCCAGAGTATTTCATCATTGCTTTCACATCTGTAAGGCATCTGTGCAAAACATCAACATATGAGATACTACTACTAAAAAAATATTGCAACAAAGGAAAAAATCACTCACTGTAAATAAACCTAAAATGCTTTGAACACCTGAAGTGGAGTTGTGTCTGGTAATCAGCAATATCTAGTAAACGGTCAGTTGGGAAACTATAAGTATGTGAACATTCTTTTGCAACTTCTCAATAGTTTCTAATGCCTGGTAAAAAAAACATGAGTTATTATACCTAAAGTCTTTTTTTTTTATAAATCCCCATGGTAACCTGCGTGGACCAATCTTCTATGTCATTCATAGTTGAATGGGTTGGAAATAAGCTTATCATCCCCTGTTGTTGATCAAAAAAGACTTGATTTCTTTGAGGACTTAAATCAAACAATTGGTGTGCAACATAAAAGAAAGTTGTTTAATTTTCTTCAGTGTTTCTGTTTCTTCCATTCATAACCCCCCTTCGAATCGTCTACCTCTACATTAGCTCCCGTAATTGGCTGACAACAGTAAAATGATGAACATCAAGAAAAAATATGATTTTAATTGTACAAATCACATGAAGATGATGAATTACTAAATACACCAACCTTACCTGGAAAACCTGAGGATTGTTCGGTGTTAAATTTCATGGAGGTCGAGCTGAAAGAAATCAACAAAAGTGGCACTGAATCGCCAGCATGGCGGTGGCTCAGGCCGGATGAACTCATACATAGCTCAATAGACCCGATTCCAAACCTACGAATATAAGTGCGATTATATGTTATGGTTTTCCAGACCATGAGGTTAATCCATAAATCTAGAAAGAAAATTTTGATGACTTTGAAGAGGTTCACGTAGAGAAGCAGGGAATAAGGGAGAACGGGGGTGAGAAGGGGTTGGAGGAACTTATAAGGCGGTGGAAAATTTGTGGAAATCGAGATCAAAAGCGGTGGGGATGACAAAAAACGACCACGTAGATGGTATAAACACAACTTATTATACCTGTAATCCTCTATAATAGATAAATATGGATAAATAATAAAAAATAAAGCAAAACAAATAAGAAAAAACCCACCAATCATAAGGAAGTCATATTCATCTAGTACTTCTAAATTTGTGTGTGTGTGTGTGTGTATATATATATATATATATATATATATATATATATATATATATATATATATATTATTCATCTTAAAATTATCTATTAAAGTACAAAATTTGATACTTGTGCTAATTTTATATCCCACCTCGTTTTTAGACCTGCGTATTTGCGGTCTTGGGTCGGTCTCGAAACAATCTTGTATTTTTGCGGTTGATCTCGAAATAGTCTGTCTTTTTTTCAGACCGGTTTCTTTCAGTCCGATCTTTTTTCGGGACCAGTCTTGATCTTTTTTGGTTCGGTCAGTTTTCGGGTTTTTTGGCCCAACCGGTTTCAGTATTTGTTGGGTTTTTTTAGTTTCGGTTTCAAGTTTTTTCCTTGATAAATGTGTAATTAACACCAAAATGATAGATTAAATTTTATTAAAGTAATAAACAAAAGTTTAATAATAGAAAAAAAAATAAAGTTAGTGTGTGATTAAAAATTGGACTGTATGCTATATTTACATCCCTTAACCAATCCCCCCCCCTCCCCTAAAATCAATCTAATCAATCATTTATTTTTGATTTGACATCATTTTTTTGTTTTTTTTTTTCTTTTTGTTTTTTTGTTTTTCTATTTATCTTTTAATTTATTATTATTATTATTATTATTATTTATTATTATTATTATTATTATTATTATTATTATAAATTTTGATAGCCATATAAAATTTGGATAACATTTTAAAATTCGGATGACATTTTAAAATTTGGACAACATTATAAATTCGGATGATATTATAAAATTCGAACAACTATATAAAATGGAACAAAAGCAAAGTTTGTTTTTTTTAGAAACAAATTGATATCATTATCGTCTATTGATAAATTGCAATTCATCCTAACCATTATGTAATTGTTGATTTACAAGGAGAATATCCAATATCTAATGTTTTGTCCAGACTTCTTCGTACATAAAAATCAGAATATTCGGCAACATTGGTAAATAATTAATATCCGTGATAAATAAAGACAAACTTTGCTTTTGTTCTGTGTTATATACTCGTTCGAATTTTATAATGGCGTCCAAATTTTTAATATCGTTCGAATTTTATATAGATAATAATAATAATAATAATAATAATAATAATAATAATAATAATAATAAAAAATAAATAAATAAATAAATAAAAATAAAAAAGAAAAAAAAAGAAAAAAGAAAAAAAAACAACAACAAAAGACACAAACATCAAAATAGTGGGGTTGGAATTGAAAAAATGAGAAGGTACTTATATCATTAGCCTTAAAAATTATGTAATTATCACTCAAATGATATATTTATAAACATTGGCTTCCGATCTTTTTGAGATCGGTCTCAAACCAGTCTCGGACCGGTCTTGTTTCGGTCCTGGAACGGTCCGATCTTTTTTATACACGTCTCAGAACGGTCAGGATTTTCTCGGACCTGTCTTGGACGGTCTCAAGCCGATCTTTTCCCGATCCGGTCTTTTTGGACAGGTTTTTTCCGATCCAATCTTATTTAAGAACAATCCAATCTTGGTCTTTTTTTAGATTCGGTCTGAGACCAGTCTTTTTGTGCAAGCCTTACTTGTTTTCATTCCCCTTTGTGTGTTTTAAACTTTTAAGCTTTTTTTAGGCGAAAATGAAAATATTTTTTGGGCTAAAAACACATTGTGTCTTGGGCTAAACAAAAGTTTGTTTTGGGCACTATCCTCATTCATAACCCAATCCAACATAACTATATATTAAAAAATTATTATTTTTCTTATTAAAATATATAATCTAATCATACCAAAATTTTATCCTTACCTAACCCAAATTTCATTTACAAAATTATAAATAAAAATTATATCAATATTAATCTTATTTTGTAGAGAAAAATAAATTATGTATTTTGGTATATTTTATTTTTTTTTCAATAAAGATGAAATATATTTATTTTAAATTTACTTTTAGTTTATAAAAGTTAATATAATTGCCCCGAATGAAAAAGATAAAAAGATGGTGAGCTGAGTTCGGATGAGCAGATCGTATAGGGTTGTCTCATTTTTTTATTTTATGTTTAATTTGTTATTATAGCTTTGGCTCACCAATATGGGTAGTCTAAGGGGTTGGTTTGCAGAATTTTTAACATCTTGAAATTTAGATTTGTGGCGGCTCGAATATAACAGTTTGTGTAGATTTTTATCTACTCAAAAATAATAGACACCTTTTCCCTTTTAAGCCTAAAATGCATGGCATTTACTAGCTAGTGTTAATATTAGCAAAATTATCCAATATATTGAAATACATTTCAATAAAGAAAGTACATTTTGAGTGTCTACAAGTACTATGGGTGCGAAAAAAATAGGTTTAAGAATCAAACCAGTTGTTTGAAACCGAACCAATTTAGGTAGAAACCTATCTTATATAAATTAAATCGACGTTTTGAACAGGTTTGGCATTCTAGGCATTAAAATCGGTTTAAGATCAGTTTATGGTGAAGCGTTGTGAAACAAGTTTGAGCCCTAATGATCCAGCGAAGATTGAAGCTGTGATGAAGTGGGAACAACCGAAAAGTCCCACGGAGATCCGAAGCTTTTTAGGATTAGTCGGATATTACCGAAGGTTTATCCAAGGCTTTTCTTCGATCGCTACTCCATTGACAGCTTTGACCCACAAAGGAGCTGCTTATGCTTGGAGTGAGAAGCATAAAGAAGCATTCGAGAAGCTAAAGAAGAAGCTATGTGAGGCACCGATACTTTCTCTACCCGATGGAGTTGAAGACTTCGCTGTTTATAGCGATGCGTCTGGGGTTGGATTGGGTTGTGTTTTGACCCAAAGAGAAAAGGTGATAGCATATGCGTCTCGACAGCTGAATGAGCATGAAAAGAATTACCCGACTCATGATTTGGAGTTGGCAGCGGTAATTTTCGCTCTGAAAATATGAAGGCATTACCTCTATGGCACGAAGTGCAAACTTTTCACTGATCATAAGAGTCTCCAATATCTCTTTAATCAGAAAGAATTGAATATGAGGCAACAACGCTGGCTAGAATTACTTAAAGACTACGACTGCGAGATACTTTACCACCCCGGTAAAGCTAATGTTGTTGCTGATGCTCTCAGTCGGAAAGTCAATCTTGAAAGGAAAAGGCCAAGAGCGTTGAGAATTGAAGTTGTGTCGACCATTGTGGAAAGTATAAAGAAAGCTCAAGAGGAAGCTTCTGAATAGAATGACCGAAAGGAGGAACGTTTGGGCAAAACGTTGGTGTTTGGTACCAACGGTCATGGACTGAAGGTATTCCAAGATCGTATATGGGTACCTAATGTTAGGATTTATACAAACAATCCTATGTGTGCATGCAACCCTAGTTTGGATCTATGTTTTCACTATAAGACATACAACTTTATGAACACAAAATAAACCCTAGCATGCTTCTATAATTTTCGAAATTTACATAGAAGTGTAGAAAACATACCTTTGTTGTTATATAGCAATAACAACTAGTTTCCTTGATCTCTTGAACTCTCTAGAACTCTTGAAAGCAAGCACCACAATTGTAGTGCCTCTAATGGCTCACAAACACCTTGAAGCAAGAAGGCAACTAAGAGAGAAAGGAATGATGCTAATTTCGGCCCTAGGGTTCCCTTGGAATCAAGTGGTCTTAAATTGAAGCATAGGGTATGTATTTATACTATAGGGTACTAGGGTTTCAGTCAAAACCCTAATGGACAACTTAGCCACCAAGCAGCCCAAGAAACCTTATGGAATGAGGCCTTGGACGAAAATATGATGATCCTTCATCATAATTTCGTTCCCCCTTAGTCCATTAGGTTTCCTAGCCCAAAACTCAACTATCACACAATTGACAGTTTATACCCCTTTATTTAATTTGTCTCTTTTAGTCACCAAATTAATTCCTAATTAATTTATGACTAATACTAATCAAATAAATATGATTTCTCCTTTAATATATTATTCTTATAATATATTAATAAATCATAATATCTCCTCTCTCATATCAAATTACCTTGTCAAGTTGCTTTGGTGAAGGCAACCCAAAAGGACCATGCACACTCGGGTCAAGTATATACCAAATATGGTTACTGACTTAGACATTAATCCAACAGTCTCCCACTTGGATAAGTCTAGTAACTATATCTCACGTATTACTTCCGAACCCGATAGCAATCGTAGCTTTCAATAGCCGCTGTCAACTCTGACCAATAACTTGTCCTTTAGATAAGGGATCGTATAATCCTCTGTTCTAGATATCATGCTAACAATAATTATTGTCTAGCATTTTATTTCTTGATCTCTGATTCGTTCGACATAGAACTCAGTTGAACACATCAACTTCATCTTGACCGGGCCCGGCACATAAGTCAAACCAAATCATCAAGTGGCCGAGATATCGCTTTTATCCTCATAGAATAAAAGGAACAGAAAAACGTCGACTAATATGCCTTTATCATTTACCAGTTAAACCATACACAATAATGCGTTTTATGACATCAAGTTACTGATGCGTTTTCGCATTATCAATGTATAATCAACTAGCAAACAATAACCATATCTCTAGGTTTAAAGATTATATGATATTATCATCTTGCGATCACTTGTGATGACATTCATGAAGTAATACCAGCAAGTGTGGGTCTGTTCCAATGCTCAATACTAATTTCATAAGCACTCATAAACTTTGCAGCAAAC